ATATATACTAACATTTCCTAGCTACAATCAGGTATGAAGCAGGATCATTGGACGCAAAATGTTAGCTTTGCTTTATTTCCACAGATGTTGCCAGCTTTATTTTTACAGCAATTTCTGGTTTTGTTTATAATTTTCAACATCCACAATCCTTTTTGTTGTTGTTGTTAACGAAAATAAAACCACGTTCTAAAAGCAATGACCGGCTTTTCAAACATTGTGACCATTTTGAGATTCCCAGCCATGCCTCATGTCGTTCCAGGAAGACCTAGAATAAATTTTATCTTCATGGGCTAGATGAAGTGGAAACCAACACGATACTCTCAGTTATTTCGTTTATTGATGAATTGAATAATTGCTGTGAAGGGATATTTTACCGCATTCTTGAATTGGCCCCTGAACTTGGACTGAGTCACACCATAAATAAAAGCATTGGTGCAACAATTTAGATCCACCAGCATAAATTGGATTGGTCGGAAGTTAGAGAAAGAAATATTGTAATATTTTGGGTTGGTTCCTGTTATGGTGTAATATAATAAATCTAAAACGTACAAAAACCAAAGGAGTATAAATCTACCAGATATGGTGAAGAGTAAAATGATAGATTTACGCCTGCTCTCCATCTCTGCATCACTGAGATTTGCTCCCTGTCTATGACCTCTCAGTCCTTTCCAGACTTGTCTGGTTACTAAAATGTAACTGAATGCTAGAGTGTTGAGCAACAATATTAAAGCGTATGGGAGTAGTGGAATTAAAATCTTAACAAACCAATTAAACATCACCCATCCAGCATCAGTATAATAACTTTGCTTAAACTTGCAGAACCAGGGAACATTGTCAATTATCTCTCCTGCTTCTATGTTAAAAAAGAAAGGGACATTTTTTAAACACATCAAAATGCAGGTTGCAGCTAGAACCATAACTGCAGTCTTTTTAGTGCAGTATTTTGCTTTAAGATTTTGGGAACAAATAATCACAAATCGATCAAAGGATAACGTGACGGTGAACCAGACAGAGCAACCTGTAGCGATATAAAGCATGATAATAATAAAGCTGCAAATTGGGGTGATATCCAGGAAAGAAATTGGGAAATGATATGAATTGATCCGTAGCAGTATGACTCCTGTGATAAGGAATAGTAGATCAGCCATTGCCATGGCCATCAAATAGCAAGTGGTACAGGTGGACAGGCCACAATTTCCCCGGGACAGGAGCAGAATCACCAACACATTTACTGTAGAAAGAGAAGGAAAAACAGTAAATATGGCAGATTACTGAGCAAACATTTTCTGTAACAAAGCCAGGAATTTGTAGTAACATTTTAACACATTAAGCTGATGGTTGTGGTATGCCAGAGTGACAATATTTTAGAAAACTCTAAAATAAATACAGTAAACACACACACACAAACACATGCACACACACACACACACACAGACACACACACATTTCCCCTCCACCATCCCCCCACACACCCACTGTAACACAGTTGGAGTAAATTCCACCCCCCCAAGAGACAGGTTGCCATTTAACTTTGCTTGCCCAGTGGTTGGTATAGGTACGTAACTAATTACCAGAGTGAAATGCACACCAGAGATATAACTAAAAATGTAAAAGATACAAGCATTAGTGGGAACTGAAAATAGGAGATTACGAAAACTGTTGTAGATAAAGAAGGAAAGGGATTGGTTTTAGTGGGGCATAGGCAGCATGATGGATTTGTAGTGCCAAATAACCAGTTTCTGTGAGGTATAACCCATGTTATCGATATATTTCACTTAGTCACTTATAACAACCTACTTTCTGCATTTTTTCTTTACCACCAATTAGGACGAAAAAACTCAGGGTCAGGAGAGTGGACAGGTCTGTCAACTGAAACATAGATTTCAAATAGATCTGCCTTGATTTACTCCAGGTAGTGATCCACAATTGGCTCAACTACACAGTGGCAACTACTACCAATAACAGGGTGCTTGCTGGAATCAGATGTATTGCTACTGTGTGTGAGCTACGCTTAGTATATTTGCACAGTGATAGATATTTCCGTGTGAAATCTTCCTTCTGGGAGCTGTCTGTGGTGATCTGTGATTTAGCTGGACCAATATTTCATTGTGTGTCGTCATTGATAAAGTTGTAAGTCTGTGAGGTAGAAACATGTTCATTTTCAACTGAGGTGTTGCAAAGAAACCACAGAATTAATTCAGGGCATTTTAGTGAATGGCATAATATCTCTGCTCTGATGCCTGCTCAACAGGTACCATGAGGCCAGCATGTAATAATTTCAGTAACAATATAACATCAGTGGCTACTAAAAAATATGCTCATAATTGCTTACCAGGAACAACAATAACAGCAAGAATCATGTAGTATATTTTCCCGATGCTGTAAAAGAATTTCATTTTTCTCTTTATAAAGTGTTCTATCACTTCTTGCTATTGATAACCTAACTAAACTTTTCTCTGATTAGGTGCATACCCCGAGGGCTTTACCTTATACCCTGTTGGATTTCCATAGGACTCAAAGGGCACAGCACCATTCAGATTATTTTATTGAAGAATAATGAGCAAAAAGAAATGACAGCTGATTTATCTCCACGTTGTGATGGACAGCATGATGTGCTGAAATTATTTTGGAAAACAATGAAAAATTAACAATTTCATTCACTTTCATTAACAAGTGAATATTCGTCAAAGTGTTGTTGATCATTCAAGTACGCTCAGGTCCATCTTTAAAGTCAGCTTATCTCAGTGATCACTGTTATTTTTGCTCAGCAATTAAGTTTGAAATCTGAAGTAGCTCTAGAGATGCAATCACCCACGGTAACTGTTTCCACCCAGTTTAAAAAAAGTGGGCGTTTTCGTCTCTTAATCTTCAAGCTGATACAACCGATCAGAATTACACAAGTCCCTGGCTAGTACAATACTTCACACTAATAGAAAGACTAAAGTTGAATAATTTATTATTCTTAAATGGGATGCAACCAATGCTGTCAAAGTTAGCATTCTTGCAATTCTGCATTTTTCATAAGAAGTTAATTTTGTGCATGATCTTTGGGCGTCTGTAATCTATGTACTGCAGGTGCAGTTACACGCTCTTGTGGGGTCAGAGCAGGGCTCTGTTTCAGACCAGTGAATGATGACTGATTCGTTGCTCAGTTCGGGTAGCACGTGTCTTGGAGGTGAAGCACCAGATAATGGCCAGATGATGGTATTCACATATGGTGAAGGGTGTAGGTTTGGAAGTTTTAAGAAGTGCATCTTGCAAACACAGAAAATTCGGGATAAACTCAGTTGGCATGGCTGCCTCTGTGGAGAGTGAAACATAGTGAATGCTTCAAGTGCAGTGAACATTCTGGCGATTCTCAGCATCAATAGTATTCTACTTTTATTTATTTATGGAAGACAATGTTGTGACTAATGAAGGCAGTAAATGTTTAAGTTAATTAAAGGGTACAAATAAAGTAGAATACAGATTGAACTGTATCAGCAGAAATGAATTGTCTGACTACCAATCAGTCGAAGAAAGCAAGGCAGGCAGTGCAGGTGTCCACTCAGTCTATCTTGTTTGTTTATCACGCTGCGACAGTAAGTGTATAAAAACTGGGAATAATTGATTGAATACATAGCCAGTGAATTGGAGTAGGAGGGATTGCACCAGTTTCCTAGGAGTTGGCTCATGGTTCTGGAACAGGTGTGATCTGTGCAAGCTGGATGTTTTAGAGTTTAACGATACTGGGACTGCTATTCACAGGAGCCTGAAGTAATCTTACGAAGCATCCACATGGGATTAATGCACAATAAATTATTTCAGTTTATATAGAAACCGTCATGTTTTATGAATGTAACCACTGTCTATACTCACAGCTATAGCATCGTCATGAGTTTGCTCTTGACACATACTCTTGTATCTTTCATTATTTGCATTTCCTGCCTTAAGTGACTGCATAACTGATACTGGACAACATTCTGGGAAGTTAGCTGTTGGTCTCAAATCTTGCACCCTCTCTCGTTACTGCAATAAATATATTGCTGATCCACTTCGGAATACCAACTTGCAGCAAACTTGTTGGTAGTTGGTGATTCAGCAATGGCAATGCTAATGAATGTCATAAGAGAGGTGATTAAATTCTGCAATGCTCGAGACAATCTTTTCCTTGCAATTAGATGGTGTGTCTCCGTCATGTAGACTTTGCACTTAAAACTACAAGACACTTTTTTTCTTTTGGTTTCCTTTTACTTTCAACTGAGATGCATCTGTATCTGAGGGACTGGAGATGTATTGAAGTTTGTAAAATCATCAGCGAGTACCCTTACTGAGATTGTCTCAATGATGAATTAACTGTTTCTTGGTTGACAACAAAACAAATGTTTCGGTGGCATTACTTCAGTGTGGTATGTCATGTCACTTGTTTCAGGATCAATCATATTACAAACCTTCTGCATAATATTCCACTATTGGTTTCATGTTTGAGAGAGACTCCTGTGGGGGTAGTGAGCACCTAAAGGTCGAGTCAACATTTATGGCAATGACCTAGATGTAAAGAGAGATGATGTTCTTAAATCAGATTTCAGGGAGCTGTGTACACGATTGAAAAACAGGACATTCAAATCAGTAGCCAAAAGTCTAATTCCAGTCACCATGCCAGTGTGCATAGAAGTAGTTGAACTGATCATTTGAAAATGTATAAATACATCGCAAATTAATGATCTGTTAATATCTCTTTCATTGAGTAATGTGATTAAATTTGATGTTGTTCAAAAACATTGTTATGCTGTGACGTTTGATACTGAAAGTTTTAGCAAATTTATTCTGCAATCTATTCATAACAAATTTCCAACAACAGCAGACCTAGCATTTGTAATAAATGTTATAACTCAATTGGATGCAGTTCAAATGTGCTTCTGATATTATATGTAAGAGACGTCTACTCGACCATAATGTGGAACAATGAGCATAACATCTGCCTACGTTATTTATTTTTCATTTATAAACCTGTGCTTTTATCATCTTGCTGTAACGAAGTTCTTGTATTGACATAACAGAAGATACTTGAAGGTTTTCTTGAATGTGTTATTACACAGTGCATAGCAGGCAGGGTTGATGGCACTGTTGGTGTAACACAACCAATATCCTAAGTTCCAGACTATATTCGGGACAGACACTGAGCAGAAGGTGTCAATGAGCAGAATGGAAACATATGGGGTCCATGTGATAAGAAATGCCAACACAATAGCCATGATGGTCCTCGTCACCTTCTTCTCTCGGGATGCACCTAGTTTCTTTATCTTAGCAGGTGTCTTGCTTGGATTCATTGTACAATGGCCTTCTCCAATATTTCTCTCATTCCTGTTATTGATGGTGAAACCTGATACTGTTTCTACTCTGCTGGCGCCATCATTGGCAGTGTTAGATTGGCTAACTATCGTTACACAAGAGAGTTTGGCATTGTCTGCCCACAAGTGGCTTTGTATGGTAAAAATATTTGTATTCTCTTGAATTGTTTCTTCATTCATTTGGTTCGATACCATTGAACTAAGTGAAGTTCTCTCATTGGAAACGACTTTGAACTCTCCTTGGACAAAAGTATCCATTGTTATCTCATTGGGTATTTTGCTCTTGATATGCAGCAACCAATTGGAAACATTTGATAAGATGTTGTTCATTAGTTTTTTTGGCTTTTGCTGAATTGGACTGAGAGGTAATGTGTCCTTGCTTGATTCAGAGCATTCCTTGTCATCCTTTATTCGACTCTTACTGGCAAGGGATATGCACACATACAGGACAGCCATGATGAAAGCGGGGAGATAGAAAGCCATAATAAGAATACCAAGAGTGACAGCTGGGTTTGAAAGGAACGGAATGTAGCATTGACCCTCATGAACTGTCTGCTCCCCCACAATGAACTGCCATAAGAGAATGGAAGGAGCCCACAGGATGAATGGCAACACCCAAGCAGCTGTGATCATCATCAATGCCATCTGAGGAGTCCTCTTCGTAGGATAGCTCAAGGGTTTTGTGACACAGAAGTAGCGGTCGAAGCTGATGACAACGAGGTTCATGGAGGACGCATTATTGACAACATGGTCTAAGGCAAGCCATAAATCACATACCACTGGGCCCATTGGCCAGTAGCCAAATGCATTGTAAATGGTGTATAGATTCATGCACACCACAGCAACAATCAAATCAGAGAAGGCTAAGCTTAAAATAAAATAGTTGGTAATAGTCTTCAAATGTCTGTTGAATATGATGGAAAGAATGACCAAAATGTTTCCAATAATTGTTACGACAGTTAACAATCCTGCCAAAATCACAATGATGATCACTTGAAGCATTTTGCGAGAACCAGTTCTTCCAATATGAAGAAAGTCAGTTAGATTCTTTTATCGATGTTGCATTGGTCATAGTTTTATTCTGATGTGTAGTTAGCACAGATGAATCCTAAATGTTGAAAAGAAAAGAAAAAGTTAGGAAACAGATTTTGGTTGTGACAATTTTAAAGACAATTTGAGGGTGACACACGAAACCATTTGCACTTACCAATTTCAAACTATTGGTCAAGAAATCGTCGTTTTTAATTCTGAATTCTTTTATTGTATTCACTCAAGGGTTTTGGTTTCAATGGCCAGACTTACATTTATAACTCATCATCATTGCCATTGACAAAAAGAGAGGAAAGCTACTTTCTTGAACAGCTGCTGTTTATATATTGTTAGTACACCCACAGTCTGGTGGGAGGGAGCTCCAGGACGTCACCCCTGCAACAATGAAGGAACAGTGATGCATTTCCAAGTCGAATATTAACTGACCTGGTGAGTGATTGAGAGAAGACCTTGCATATGGTGCATCCACGTTTCTGTTGTGCTTGCTCATTCAGATGTTAGTCATATGGATTTGGAAGGAAAAATGAAAGGAGTCTCTGTGAATTTACGTAATGCATTTGTTGGACGAAATGAATTTTGCAGGTATGTACAAATCAAAAGGCTGCATCTTACCGGATGGTTTCAAGTTTGCTGAATCATGTTAAAACTGCTTCCTTCCAGGAAAGTTTTGAGTACTTTATCACACTCCCTAACATATACTTGTAAATCGTTGTCAGGCCTTTGAGAATCAGAAGATCAGTTACTCACTGCCGGATTCTGAGTCTCTGACTTGCATTTTTGACCCCTTTTTTTATATGGTTAGTCAAATTCAGTTTCTTTCAAGTCTTAATCTCTGGATGTTGATCTTGGGGGATTTGGCGGTGGAGATTGTATTGAATTGTAGGTTCTGCCTTGTTAAGGTAGCAACTACTTGGTACTTGTGTTGTGTGAATATTATCTGCCTATTATCTGCCCAACCCTAGATATTTTCAAGGTCTTGTGGTATATCAGCACGGACTGAGCTTCATCACTGGAACAAACACTGTAAGCAATCATAAGTGAGCATCTCCATTCGTGACATCCTCATGATTTGCACCCTACCGATGAAGCAGTGGAATTTAGTTGGGCCTAGGACACTATCCTGAGGAACTCCACTAGCCATTGCCTGATAGTGACATGACTCACCTTCAAAAACCAAGCCTGTCTTCATTTGTTCTACTTCTGACACTAAACAGTTGAGAAACCGCCGCCCAACATGTACAAATTTCCACTGACTCTAGCTGGTCTAGAGCTCCTTGACGTTATGCTCCATCAAATGCTGCCTTCTTATCAAAGTTAACCACTCCCCATGAACTTTAGAGTTTAGCAAATTGCTTGAGCCAAAACCATAAGAAGGTCAGTGACTAAGTGACCCTCACTGAATACACGTGGTAGTAATGAACAACTTGTCTTGAAGGGCACTGTCTCAGTAACCAATTAGTTATGTTTTATTCATACTTAATTAACTTCATTGAAATGAAAGAATTTGTCTCTGCGTGGCATTGCAAATTGTACTTTTAATTCAATTGATACAAAATATGGAGGTACATTAAATATACGGTTTTTTAACTGTTGAAACGTTAAGTGTCAACAGATTCATTTTCTTTTATCCTTACATTCATGCATAAAAAACTAATAAATGACATATTTTTGAAAAGGAAACATGTAATCACCTGTATAAATTTTGCAAAGTATAAGATATATGCATGCTTATTTTCTCTTACAGAGAGATCATCCATTCTATCATGCAAGTTCTCCTTCAAAGACAGATTCACCTCTGCAAGAGCGAAATAAACCTGAGATGGAGTCAATTCATGGATGTGTCATATATTTGAATTCAGCAGGATATTAATGGAGACTCGCCGACAGGTTTCAATTGTTGTGTATCAATAATTATAAATATTATGCAAACTGTGCGAAATAAAACCCGAAGGATGAATCTCCAGTTACTGTTGTTTCCAAAGTAAATAGTGGAAACTACATTACACATTTTAGATTGATTACTTTAGGAAAGCTCCTGCAAGAAACATAATGTTCTATGTCTTATATTCCAGATTATTTACACAGTTAATTTTATGCCTTTTAAATATCTTAGAAAGAATGCACAACGTTGACTAAGGTGTGAGCATTAATGATGCTGCGCACAATTCAAGACAAGAAATGGGGTAAAGAAAACGTCTGGACAAGAGTGGTAGATCATGCAGTGAAGCAAATGAGGTGCAATCATCTGATTAGATAGAGTTAAAAGGTAGGGCCAGAGTGCGTTAACAGTGGGCGCAGACTGTGGCAAGGAGAAGCAGAAAAGGACTTAAAAAAAATGATAAACTGGATAGTGACGAAGCAATGGACCAGCAATAAAATGAACCAGCATGCTTTAATCCGCACTCCGGAGTAAATCATAGCAGCACGGCAATAACAGCATAATAGCTCCCAGATATTCTAAGGATGTTTGGAGTGAAGTAGGCACAGGTAAATAAATTGGAAATGAAATGACCTTGAAAAAATCAAATCATTTTTATATGCAGAAAATGTGAATCAACCAAAAGCTGAGATGTAAAAACTGCATTCGTCTTTAACAAATGAGGGGCTTTCAAAGGATGCATCATATTATTGATGCCAGAGAATATTTTGCTCAGCAGCGTCAACAGATCCTATTGCTGATAGATAGGTAGTAGGATCAGGTCATGTATGTTTCAGTCAGTAGGTGAAGACACTTCAAGTAGGGTTTTGGTGGACTAACAATCCAATTTAGATGGTAATGCTACAGTGACATGGTTTGCAATGGGTTAGCAGCTGGTGGAATTTACTTTCAGCTAATGAATCTCGAAATAAAAGTTAAAATCTGCTATTGTGTCTGTGAAGTCATTGTCGATTATTGTAAGAACTCATCTGTTTTAACAATGTCCATTCAGGAAGCAATCTGTCTGACTAGTAGTGATATAGTGTAAATACAAACCTAGACCAAAAGTATTATCATGAACTCTTAAATCTCCGTTGAAATTGTCAATTGAGCCATTTGAAAGTAGAGCAAGAGAAATTAGAGCTAGGCCAAAGTAAAAAAGGAATGAAACTGCACACATCTCCTAACACCTAACTAAGCAATAAAAATGGCACAGACACATCCAGGGGACAGGACAGTGTAGGTGCAGCGAAGTTATTTTTCCGCTTTGTGGTAGAGTACAAGAAGTTAAAATAATCTCGTTGGGTTTGGCCACGAAACTACAGAAAATGCAATACAGAATTGAAACTCACTTTGGTCCAAAACACCAGCCACTTCAGATGATGGGATTTAGGCCCTTTCATTTGTGTTTTGCCATGTAATAGTTTACATCTGTATCATGGCGTTCAAATTGCTCAGTGACAAATCAGAACATAAGAAATAGGAGCAGGAGTAGGCATCTGGCCCATTGAGGCTGCCCTACCATTCATTAAGATAATGGTTGACCTTTTCGTGGACTCAGCTTCACTTACCCACCCACTCACCATAACCCTTACTTCCTTTACTGTTCAAAAATCTATCTTTGCCTTAGAAAAGAACATTCAACGAGATAGTCTGGATAATATTAATCGACTTTTTTTGTTCAGTCCCAACTCTATTGGTGTCAGTTGTCTCCTTCCACTTAATCAACAAAATGCCTTGTTCTGTCTTCCATAGGTGTACACTTCATGAGCAACTTGGATGCCAATTTCACCAGTGACGACCTGTTAATGTACCGTTCAGTATGAGTGGGCAGAAGTACAACATCATGAAAGCAAGATGCGCCTTATCAATATAAAAATATAAGTATCATCGAAATCTCACATATCTGTGCATTGTCTGAACACCGCTCCCCTGCCCAACCCGCCAACCCACCCAGGACAGGTACCTGTCTGTCTGGGCATCAGGCTACACAGAATAGGCTGTTCATTCGTTGATGAAACAGCCAGAAACCAAAATCATCCCTTCAAAGATGTTGTTTCAAACCACCAATTCTCGCACCAAAAGAATGCCATGCACCCAGCCCGCCATCGATCAAAAACAGATGTTGCTGGAAAATCTTAGCCAGTCCGGCAGCATCTGTGAAGAGAAATCGGAGTTAACGTTTCGAGTCCGTTGACCCTTCCTGTAATCTTGATCTTCGGATCAGATCAACCGACAGCGATATAAAAATGCCCCGGTAAGTTGTAATGATGTAGCATCTTTTAGGCCAATAAAGTTTGTTTATTGTATGTTCATTTCAGGGAATCGTTTGTAAAAAAAAATCTTTTCACCTCAGAAACAAAATCCCAAATATTTGCACTCTCTTGACTGTCAGCATTGTTTGTAAAACAAAAAAATCACGCGCACAAAACCCGAATCCTTTCATTCCACGAACAGAGCCAGCAGGAACAGAAGAGATGGTATTCAGCAATTTCCCTTCAATATGACTCTCACGAAGGACTTTTAACTATTTTGTTAATCAGTATGTTGTGGTTTATTCAAAGTTGTGTAAAATTATACATTCCCATTTTTAAGGAAGAATGTTTGAAAACAATAAGGAAATCCATCTGCATCCGAAAGCAGAGACAATTGGTAGTTTGGGGGAGCAGTTGAAAAGATACAGAGGTGAGGTGTGTGCTGGTGGTTGAACCATTTGATTCATTCCACCATCCAAATCGAAATTTATATTCACAGAATGACAAAAGTGTTTTAGTAAAGAAGGACGCCTTTCGGCCTGTCATGTCTGCACAGGATTGTTAAATGAGCATCATTACCGGATGCCAACCTCTTGCTTGTTTTTGCCCCATTATCTTTGGAAATTATTTTTATCGAAATAATCATTCAATGTCCCCTCGCATGGCTCAGTTGAACATAGTTGAACCTGCCTCCACTGCAATTCCACGCATATCCAAATGATTTGCTGAGTGAAGACATCGAAACTTCTTCTGCGAGATATTTTAAATGTATAGAACAAAACCTCTCGCTCCAAAACAGAAGGGGGAACACTTTTTCTCTCTCTAATGACTACATCCAGCCCTCTCAGGGTTTTGAAAATCTTGATCAGATCTCTTATTTGTTTTCTACTTTCCACTTGTTGGAATGATCCAGACTTCGCTTTGCCAAGGATTTGTTTCCTTGCCCCAAATCTCTGTGTTAATTTTTGTTTTGTTTCTGGAAGTCCTCAGCGTTATGGGATGCCCGACAAAAGAAAAGGAGAAAATTCCTAAAGTTGCGCCTGCTGACGCGTTTTGCTCTGCATTGATCAGACAGTGACTAGGGTTGACGGGGTAGGCTCTTCCTACCAGTTCCCGAGATCTGCCATTGACTCACTCAACTGGAGACAAGTTGAAATGAGTTCGGAAAGCTATGTTCTTTATTTGAAGGTTGAAGTTACTTCAGTCAGAAGGCAAAACTTCAGAATTATGCAATAATGATCTAAGAGCAAATTACTGTAGATGCTGGAATGTGTACTAAAAACGAAAAATGCTGGAGATAAAATCAGATAAGCTTTGGTGAGAGTAATCTAGCTCGAAACGTTAGCTTGCATTCTGTCCATGATACAGCCTGAACCGTTGTGATCTCCAGCATTTTTTTTGTTCTTAATAATGATCTAAGTCTTTTTTTTAACT